GCTGAAGCCCATAACAGTCTGCATTTTTTTTTTGTATCACACCCTATAATATGTATGTAAGCTAACATAATAAATTCTAACCTAACCATGATAATTATGTTGAAGCATAGTTATTTCTTGCTTATTTACGTGAATGTAATCAATCGGTCATCATTGATTTAGTCAGTTTGTTTTAATTAAAACTATTTTTTTTTAGTTTTCAAATATATGTTTTATAATTCAATAAATAATATCAACAATGACATTTTCTTAATGGTGGTAGGCTTTGTATACTGGGGCAGCGGCAACAATGGTCTTGGTTACTACGGCTTTTTGTACAATTGGTTCTCCTTTGTATTCTACTTCAGCGTTGAAACCGTTGTGGGAGTCAGCGGTGTAGTGGACAGTACGGGTGACTCCATCAGGTTGGACCAAGGTGTAGTATCCCTTGACAACATCTCCGTCACGTTCTTCATGTTGGTTCTTGACATCGCCGGTTACAGCGTCTTGCGTTACAGCAATTGGGGAAGGAGAGTAGTGGGCAAATGGAGCACCGCTGAGAGAGGAGTAGGAAGTAGCAATGGTGACCATGTCCAAGTTCATAAACTTCGGCTTGAGCACAAGCTACTAACGCAGATACAGCCAAAATCTAGACATATTAAAATTAGAATAATTATCGAATTAATTAATATATAAATAAAATACCTTAGCAAACATGTTGAATGTGTGTAATTCAAATTGATACTGTTCACCAAGTTATGTTTCGCTTTTATATGAATCTAGGCAATACCAAATGCGGTCGATTTGATGTGTAATAAGAATGTAAAATGTGAACTTGAAAATATGTATTCAATTCTAGATTTTTTTTTAAATAATTTGGGATAATCTAATTATATGTGTAAAAATAGCTATTTCAAATTATTAGTATTTATAAGTTATTATAAATGTTTCATGTATCTTTTAATATATATATTTAATGCAAAATATAAAAAATACACAGTATTACATATTTTATTTACAAATTGATTTAGAGATTGCATTATTGCATTTTCGTGTTTTAAATTACTGTTTAGCTTATAACAACTATTCTTAAATTAATAATAATCCTAGGCACATTGTAATAGTTTTTTAATAGTATTTTATGAATATGTGATAAGTGCAAGAGGGCCTTGCTAATACTATTTTGCAGTACTGCGTTAATACCACTTGAAGTTGCTGGACCAACACTGCTAGTGGATCTCAATTAATCCAGATTAACCAAAGTTTATGTTGGTTGTGTATATTTTTATTTTATTTTACTACCTTCTATTGGATGGATAATTAATATCCTCATAATATACAAAGTATCATTTGCTATTAATGATTTAAAAATAAATCATTATTAATTTAAAAATACTTTATTACTTAAAACAAAAAAAATAAAAATCATAGGAGTTACCATGTAGTCAGCGTTGAGCAGGTGTAAAAGATCGCTCTGCTGGGAACAGCCCATATAATAAACAAGGTCTTATCGATCGGCCAATGAACGCCCTATGGCCCAGGTAGGGTCCCGGCAAAGAAAAGCTACTAGCACGATATATTATTACAAAAGCTACTAGCACGAAGGAGCCAAGTCACAATAAAAAAAAAACATAATAATAATGTTTATTGCAACTATAAATGACCAAAATATAAACTGATTACAATAATATAATAGCAACAAATTATTATAACNTTAACAAAACTTAATACAATAACAAAAATTAAATTAAATTCAANTGCTGCAAAGGGCTATTGACCATAGGACTTTTTGCTCCATTATGATTATAATATTGGAAATATTAGTTAAAGGACAATCAACTGTAATTTTTCTGTTTTTATTTATATTAGGATATAAACTGTATTTGTTACCAATAAGAAGATCATCCACATAGTCAAAAATACTTCCATTCCCATTTCTTTTATTTCATGTATTATGTATTACGCTCTGTATAAAAAAAAATAATTATGCTAGATTAAAAAATCATATTTAAATATAAAATATAATATTATATTTGAACAAATACTTTTAAATAGCCCTTCGACAAT